ATCAATCTGATCAGCCTTAAAACCCCTCCTTGAATCCAGATAACCTAAGATAGACACATTTCTCCATCCTCTTAAAACATGTAACTCTCTTCATTTCAGTCAGACTAACTTGCTTTTTTTTCTTATCTTTTTTATGAACTGAACCATAACTCTATTCTGGAGAAGCTGAAGATTAGAGACCCATATCTGGGTGTAGATCATGGAAGGAGTAACTGAGGATGATAGAGATATTTCAAAAGCTTATAATCTATGACTAAATGTTTTTAGGCATAGTCATGGGAGAGGATGGTTTCAGCAAAACACCCCTAACCTTTAGAAAGGTCACTGGTCACTGCTGCATTGAGCTCAAATATAGCTTCATGCTGTTTTTAGTGGCTTATGTTACTGTTTGAAATTAAATGTGATTCAAATAAAGCTAAAAAACATGACCAATATCACGTTTGATGTGCGTTTAGTCGTTTAAAACTGTCATAATTCAGAGAATTTAGGTGAGTTTTAAGACTTTAGACCTTTTTCCTCTCCATTAGTGAAATTTACATGGCTAAAACACATTTTGATGCTTTCACAAAGTTTGTTAGCTCTGGCTCCTAAAAACTTCCCTGTGTTGGACAGAAAAATTAATCTACAAGCTTTTAAACATTTAGTCATTAATCATTTCATCACTGATTCTCATGTCTAAAGAGAAAAATTCAGGTTTCATGGAAAATATCTGAGGAACTCATCAGAAAATGTAAATACAAACACTTTCATAAGGGGAAAACTGGGCTTTCAGAGCTGCTGACTGACTTTGGTCAAATTGTAAAAGCTAATTATGCAGAAAATGTGAACTCAAAAAGTTTTTGGAAACTTTGTCCTTACCACCTGATAATGAGCCAGAATTAAACAGAAACAGCAGGTCCTTCATTGGCTGCTGTCAGACATAGTGAGAGAAGGAAAAACTCTAATGAAAATAACATGTTTGCATGAATGCTCCAAAAGGACAGTGACTGCACCATGTGGACACGTCTTCATTATGTTAAATATATCCCTATTTAGACTACTCAGTGGAGGACATTGATCATTAGGCTCTGAAAACTATCGGCAGCACCGCCACTTCTGGTCCTAGTCTAATATGTGAGTTTTCTGCAAACAGAGCAATTTCCCGGGTCTAATTTTATAAAACTAGCTGCAGATGATCTCATAGAATGGACTCTCTAAATAAGATAGAGGGAAACAAACAGTATTACACAATCATAATGATCACAGATAACATTTAAAAACATTTAAAAACCAAATAATCTCCTCTAAATAATGCATCACATTGAAGAGGGTCTGTCTGCTGCAGCTTCATCTTCTGTTTGTTCTAAGATGACTTAGAAAGATGAAAATGAAAGCAGGTAAAGTGAAGGTGGGGGTTTAAGGCAGTTTAGCGTTCAATGTGTTGAGTCTCATACTTTTAATGTAATACATAAGTTATTATGTCATAACAAATGTTCTTTTTTGTCGTTGCAGTGTCTGATTTAAGGATTGTGCTTTTGGGGGCAAGTGATGAAAAAATGACTAAACTTGGTAACTTGATCACTGGAAAGCAGGAATTTCATCATCAAAAATTAGTCAGAACCAAACAGTGTGTGGCCTCCTGTGGAGAGTGGAACGAAAAAACAGTGACTGTAGTAAAAACTCCTGACATGTTCAGTCTGTCTGAGGAGAAAATACAAGAAGAAGTGAAGAACTGTGTGAGACTCTGTTCTCCTGGACCAAATGTTCTGCTGCTGTTTGTGAATCCTTCAAAATTTACTGAAAAAGACAGAGAAACACTGATGTCCATCCTGACTTTGTTTGGTCAAGATGCCTTCAATCATTCAATGGTCATCTTAACACATGACAGTGAAAAAAATACCT